GGAAGAGGGATTGTTCCACGTAACCTACAAAGAGGCAGGCGTAGCTTGGGCCCATGCGGGTACCCATGGCTACCCCCTTTGTCTGTAGGAAGTGGGAGGAATTGAAAGAGAAGTTGTTGGGAGGTGCCCTGGTCAATGTTTATCTGTCAATCAACAACCCTAATTATCTAGTCATTGATCATCAGCGGGAGTTTACTATGCACAATATGGCTGCTACATACTCAATATTGTAATGGAAAGTCACATTTCCAAAAATCAGTGAAGATCCTGTCAATATGGACTAAATTGACACTGACTGAACATTGATCGAAAACCTGCTAAACAGAAACACTTTCTTCCCCCCCAGGTTGGTGCAATCTGCTTACTAGCAAACCCCATACTGATTTCAGTCAGGTTGATTGTAAGAGCAGTCACACTGAGTTACAGAATAAAAGCATTTCTTCCACCTCAGTGCGACTTTGTTGGAAAGACTAAAATCCAGAGAGGCTGTAAACAGGGAAGGAGGCAGAAAGGGAAAACCAGAGATCAGAGGGAATGGGCTGGTGGACGCACTGGGTCGTTGTCAATGGGAAAGAGTGCCTTAAATTCACCCCGCCTGGATTTGCTTGGCATTGAGAAGAGAAATCGGCAAACTGAAGCAAGATGTTCACTCAGTGAGCTGGCCTGGTTTCTGTCCAGGGACTAAATTTAAAAGGCCGGCTTCATAAGTTTATACTCTGAGGCTACTTATGTGAAGTTATATTGCTGTAGATGCTTAAATCATAAAATACAATTTGAGCCAATCATCCGTTTTCCTTTTGCTCCTTTCACTCAGAAAGCCAAGCCCAAAAGGTCAGTTATAACAGACTCACCCGTGAGTGAATCTGGCTCCGGTCAGCAATGTCTAGGTGAATAACTTCAACATTTTTCCATGTGTTGGGTTCAAGGCCATGTACCTGCCAGTGGGGAAACACAAAGAGGGAAAGTCAGAGGTACAATACCGGTGGGGACAGGTCTGTCCCTGTCTAACACTGGTGTACAGTACCGTGGGGACATGGTCTGTCCCTGTCTAACACTGGTGTACAGTACCGTGGGGACACGGTCTGTCGCTGTGTAACGCTGGGGGACAGATCTGTTACTCACATTTTCTGTGTTGCCCATATCAGGCTTGTGCCAGGTTTCAATTTTGATCAGGAAGTCATCCTTCATGTATTCGTTCTGAAAGATGATGATTAGAGTGTTTAGGCCTGAAATAGCATCACCAAGTTGCAATCAACAACAACTTCAACAAGGAAAACCACCCTGTTCTGAAAACCAGAAGGATGCTGGAGTCAGCGTGGACCGGTAGCCCCAAACCCTCTTCCCCAAGGTACGGTTTCTCTCCCTCCCAGACACTGGAACACTATTTGTTTTTAACCTCGGTGTCTAATTTCACTCACCAAAAGCCCATTTGGATTCTATCATTGAGTCTTTGTGCAAGCTGAGACGGTGCATGGGGGTGGGACATTCACTTCTAAGATGATGTACCACACCTGGGAACCACCAAGCTCTGCTGCTACTCGGGCTGGCGTGAGGCCTTATTAACCACTGCCTCCCAGGCCGGCAATGTATCTAGGGACTGAGTCTGATTCACCAGTTGAGAGACGTTTAAATGCAGACCGTGGAAATAAGAGGTTGCTGGTCATCCCTTTCTTGCTCTATCTTTAACCTGGTGCTCCCACCATTAACAGGTCCTCTGATGGTTTCCAAACTCTCTCTGGATCAAACAGCTGTGCAAATTTCTTTTAATTCTATCTCCACACAGATTGGTTTAGTTTCTATCAAATGGACTTTAAAGGCGTAGGAGCAGAGCAGGCCATTCAGCCCATCGAATGTGCTCCACGTTTCAATGAGAACATGGCTGATCTGAAAATCCTCAGCCCCACTTTTCTGCCTTTTCCCCATAACCCTCGATTCCCTTGCTATATGAAATTCTCTCTATCACAGCATTACTTTAGAGAGAGAGGACCATCCCCGAAGGAAATAAGGCCAGAATCTGTTTCTAACCCCCTCGCAAGGAAGCGGGGAGACTGAAGAAAATTGATGCCTGTATGATTTTCCCTAGTCAACTGCAGCTCATTCCACCATTTACAACTGGTCTGTCACACCTCCAGAAATAAGGAAACTTTGAATGCAAACATCTCGTGCCTGTGGTGGTGAGGTAATTTTGATTTCACTGCCACAGGGAGGGGGTGAAGTCAATTGAATACAGTTAAGTGAAAGTAAAACTAGAGACAAAAGACCAGGCTATGATGTCAGGTTTGTACACGGTGGGAGGAGCCTCCAGTGGAACAGAAACACCAGCATGAACCGTTTGGGTTGAATGACCTGTTTCTGTGTTCTTTATTTCATGTGATTCAAAAACCTGGTCCACCCACCTCCTGCCACAACAAAACCAAATCACCTCCCCCAACCTTCAGGCACTGTGCCCAAGGCTCCAGTTACTGCCATGTGCACTCACCGTAATGACTGGAGTCAGCAGTGCAGAGCAACATAGGAGAGAAGAGAAAACAGTGTTAAGATGTTGCAAAATCAACAGAGAGAACAGATCTTCAAGTCAGGCAACATTTCACAACCCAGTCACTAGCAGCGAGAACCAGAGTTATAGAGTCATACAGCGCGGAAACAGACCCTTCAGTCCATGCCAACCAAATTTCCCAAGCTAAACTAGTCCCACTTGCCTGTGTTTGGCTCATATTCCTCTAAACCTTTCCTAACCATGTACCTGTCCAAATATCTTTTAAATGTTGTAACTGTATCTGCATCTACGACTTCCTCTGGCAGTTCATTCCAAACATGAGCCACCCTGAGAGAAAAAGCCACCTCTTCACAATATCACCAGATTTGCACCATTAGCAATTAAATCCAACCAATGAAAAGTACTATATTAGCTGTGTGTTTTTTTTTAATTTTTCAGGATACTGACACAAGTTGCACCAATTTTCTATTTCACATTTACCCCCAGCTAGGGGGTGGGGGAGGTAAGAGTTACCAGCGGGGGCAAGGGAGTAGTTGACAGTTTCCCTTCCTTTGCAGGAGACTACAGAACCAGGGTTCCTGTGTGTTTCTTCCGTAAATTCAAATCTGGGAGCTATGGGGAGGTGAAACTGGAAAGATAGTGCCACTGGGATAGCAAACCAGAAATGTCAGGCTAATGATCTCAGAATACTGCGTCAAATCCCACCAATGCAACTACTGACATTCAAATTCAATTAGTTTGTCTCAGGGATGGTTAAAAACCCATTTTATTCAAAAGCGGGGGGAAATGGGAAGACAACGACAAATCCAAAATCACACCCGTCTCTTGATGACTAATAAAGCACTGCGTGCCATCATTGGGCAAGGGCTTTTGTTCAGTAGGACATATTCGCTCTGCAACTTGTTTCTCATTACAGGAAGACAAGATCATAATCTTGGGCACTATGCCAATGCAGTCCTGAGAAGGTCTGAGATCAGAGATGCTGTTTATCAGGAGATAGTAATAGAAAGGATAGGCATGCATTAAATACAGCCTTCATCCTGTCTGCATGTTCAGGAGAATGATAGAAGATCCCAGGTCAGAATGTCAAGGACAGCAATTTACACATCTCCCCACTGCTTGCGGGATCAGTCTTGACATTAAAAACTCAGCTACATTTGCAAATACTATCACTACGCAACAAAGTAATTCCACGCACAGAATTAGGAGCTGAGAGAAGGTCCCTTCACTTTTTTAAGGAAAGGTCACAAACAATAATCTGGTTATATCCCAACTGCCTGCAGACTTAATGAAATATTTACATGGTTCTGAAGTAACACTGTACTATCCCATATTGCAAGGATTCAATATCACCTCACTGTCATGGCAATGTCACATTCCACCAGCCCTGGACCAAGGTTATGAATTAAAGAGGAATGTGGAAACCCGCAGGCCTGGGATCGTTGTTCTCTCTACTTTATCTGTGGTGTATTTTACCCAGAGAACAGGCAGCAAGGGGAGATTAATCTCCATCGCTCATCTCATCACTTAAACTAATATCTCTCATTTAAAACTAGAGCAGCAGCACTGCCTTCTTAAAGGGGCCGTGTTCTTTGGAAATATGAATTGAGGGTTTTAAAGGATTAAGATACTCTAACTGGGGCTGGGCCTAAAGATGAGGGAAATTTTGGCAAATGATTATCGCACAAGGAGAAGTTAAATTGCCCAGAAGATTTGTATGCAAATGCAGCACCCGATCAGGATTCTCAGTAACAACCCATTCAGCACCGGTCCATCACAAATGCCTGACACTATGCAGTTATGATCCTAGCACACATCTCACTCAACGGTACAGCTTGGGCAAGAAAACAGGGGATGGATTATTTAAACCACAATGTGCTAATATCTCTCAGCCACATGGTATGTGAATGGACCACTGAAATCCTCATCCTTGTCTTTGTCCCTCTAGACTCGACTATTCCAACTGAACCCTCGGTTCTTCTCCCAGGCTCTGTACACTTGCTCATTCAAACCTTGCTGCCTGTATATTAACTTGCATCAAGTGCCTCTCACTCATCACTCCTGTGCTTGCTGACTTACATCAGCTTCTGGTTCAGCAATGCCTCGATTTTAAAATTCTCATTCTTGTTTGCAAATCTCTCTCTCCCTCCCGGTTTACGTAATGTCCTCCAGGTTCACATCCCTTCCATTCCAACCTTGTTGGCGGCCCTTTCTTTAGCTGCCTGGACCTCCAGCTCTGGAACTCCCTTCCTAGGTCTCTGCCTCCTTCCTCTTTTAAAAGGTGCTCCTGACCAGGTCCTAATAGCTATGTGGCTCAACACCTTTTGGTTGCTAATGCTCCTGTGGAGTGCCTTGGGTATTTTCACGCTGCTATATAAATGCAAGTTGTTGCTGCAACTGAGTCTTATTCTATTAACCATGTTGAGGTCTAAAATGACTAGGCATGATACAGCAGGAACAACAGTCCGTATCAGCACCTTGTTGGGAATTAAAGTGTTGACTCTGGGAACGCTGAACACAACACCAGCTGGGGTGAAACCAAGTTAGTTATTTATAATGGATGTCCCCACAAATGTCAAAGGTCAACATTCACCTCGTGGGGCTCCCAATGGGGTGGTTGTGAGCTGCCCTCCTGACTCTCAGGAAGTGGTTTCATTGATTGAAATATTTTCTACTGCACTTCAGAGAGAGGGTTGAGTCAAACTATACTGGTGTATCAGCTTGGTTTGGTCAAATCAAAAAAGTTTCTTATGAAAAGATAAGGATTTTCTAGTTTTTCATTTTGGTTATTTTGCTTATGCTTATAAGCTTCTGTCTTGGTGGGGAAAACTAGAGGGGAAAAAGAATTAAATGGATTGAAATCAACTGGGAGAAGAAAACAAACCTGTTGAGACAGATGACAGCACAACAGCAGTCACATTGAAGAGATTCTATCAGCTCAATTGCATATCAACTGAAGTTCAGCCGAGTCAAATACTGAAAGTTACCAGCAATGGGGATTGGTTCCCATTTGCAGCAATAAGACTTGCAAAGAAGTATCTGTTTTATTGCAAACCCTTTCTCCCTCACCAGCCAGTGCCAGCCCCGTACACAGCATCTACTCACCAGTTCTGCAGTATGGGTACGCGTTCCAAGCCTTCTCGTGTACGTTCAGAGCTCCCTCAGGAGCCAGCATCTGCACAAACTTAGGCACCTTGCTGCAAGAACAACATGGTTATGGTTTCTCAAGTCTCAGCATAAAGCCAGATTTCGGGCAAGTGACAGCAACACCCCCGTGCATACAGTGAGACAAGCACCTGGAAAACATTTCCAGTTACAACACCACAGAAAAGACTGTAGAATCACTGCAAGTATAGTTGGATGGCTGAGTGTGAATAAACTGTAGGGTCTGTCTGGTTGGAAAGGTCAAGGTGAATTGTCTGGTTTTCTGCAGTATGTTGTTTTAGGATTGTCACTCTACAGAAATTGCAGAATCTAGTCATTCACAACTTTTAAAAAAAAAAGTACATTGTATTGCTGCCCAATGTCTGAGTGAATGTTTCTTAAACAGAGAGGTGACACCACGTAAGTATCTCAGAGGGTCAGAACTTAAACCTCGCCCAACTACCAGTATGCACCTTGCCAGAGCGTGCGAGAGCGAGCAATTGAGAGAGAGAGAGTGAGTGCACGTGAGACCGCAATTTACACAGCGCTTTCCATGACCATTGGCTGTAAAACCCCATGAGATGTCCAATCAGGCATTTGTGAAGAGCAGACACTGTGGCAATGTAGGAAACATGGCAGCCAACATGTGTACAGACAGCAATGTGGCAATGACCAGATCATCTGCTTATAGTGATGTTGACTGAGAAATCCATATTGGCACAAGCATATTGGAGACTGGGGAACTCCCTAATACATCTTTGAAGGAGTGCCAAGGGATCCCTAACCTTCACCTCTCCTCATTTCCGTTCCAACTCTTCCCACCTAGCTTTCCATCTAGTGATGAACCAGGGTCCAAACTAAATGACAGAACAGACTCAAGGGGCTGAATGGCCTCATCCTTTGCATCCTTTTAGGGTTTCACAAATACTACTGCTAGCTGATAAAACTGGATTTTTGACACAAGCTGGTCGCAGATCATCTAGTCCTGGCTTCTGACTACTGAACTACTCACCTCCCTTACAATATCAGAGCATGAGAAAATCGCTGGTGTAGACCATTCAGCCTCTTGGACCTACTCCATCATTCTATAATATCATGGCTGATCTGATTGTGACCTTAATCCTCCTGGCCTTCCTGCCCTCCAACATTCCTAGACTCCCTTTTAGATGAAAACATTCTGTAAGCTTTTAAAATGCACAGCCTGCTGTCATTTAAATCATTTCTTTGCATCATCCTTGAGCCCTCCCCACTTGGTGCTGTGCTGAGTTCACTCTTCAATGAAATTTCCAGCAAGAATTACATCTAGTGCTCTTACAGCTAACTGCTCCAACCATTGCCTCAGACATTGGGCCTTTTTTTTTCATGGGATACGGGCATCATAAGTAAGATGAGCATTTATTGCTCATGCCCAAATACAACTGCATGGCTTGCTTGGCCATTTCAGAGGGCAGTTGACAGTCAATCACATTTCTGAGCCTAGAATCATACGTTGGTCAGACCAGGTAAGGAGGGCAGATTCCCTTTACGAAGGGGCATGAGTGAACCAGACAGATTTTTTTGACAATCCTTTAGTTTCTATGGTGATCATTACTTAGGCTAGCTATTTATTCCAGATATTATTTAACTTTAAATCACCAATGCAGGGATGGAATTTGAATTCAGGTCCCTGGATGATTAGGCTAGCGGGCTCTGCATTATTAATCCATCGACAAAACCACTATACCGGGCCTCTACATGGCACAGTCCCAAGTTGGTGCTCAGCAGACCCCGCCAACCCCCACTTACCGCTGGAGGTGGTAGATCTTGTGTGTGTACTGTCCTTTCTCACCATCTTTCTCATATGGTTCATTCTGTAACACTTCAACCCCTTCACCGCCACCAGTCTCATTCTTACTTGCTTCTGCTACAGAGTACAGCTGTCCCACCTGGTACTGTGGGGTCAAACAAAAATATTTAAAGAGAGAGGATTAAGAGGTTAAAAGCTTTATCAAGTCTCTAATTAAAATTCCTAGCTCTCAGGGCATACTCCTCTGCCTTGTACAAAAACATCCACATGTCAATAGAATACACTATAGCCTAATGCAAAATGCCAGTGCTAAAGGTAGAGGATATATTTCCATACTGTCTTCCACAGATGTTCCAAAGTCTTTTAACCCAAGAAAGTGCTTCTTGTGACACAGGCAAACAGCAGTGAATTTGTGCACAGTATCACATTGCTTTTTGTGGGAGCCTAACCCCAATAGATTCTCTGGTCACTTGTGCAAGGTGAATATTGGCTAGGATATCTAGCAGAAGAGGTCAGCAGGGCCTAGTTTGACAGCTCACCTGAAAGCTAGCATCTCTCATGATGCACCATTCCCTCAGTACTGACATTAGGAGCACTGGCCACAAATCTCTGGAGTGGGGCTTCTGTCTCAGAGGGGTGAGAAAGTGTACAAATCTTCAAAGCAACAGCTGGCACTGGTTAGGCAGCAGGAGCTGTATGTAACCAGCAGGATAGAAACATTACACAGCCAGTTTCTCCAGGGACTCTCATACGTACCAACACACCAGAAAGTTCAAACATTAAGACAGCAATTAAAGTGATATGTACACAAGTGATTTCTTTCCCCCCAGATGAGGAAGCAAAGTTAATTACTGGTCAGTGTTGGGATTCGCAGATAAACTATTGCATACAATCGTGCCCGTGTGCTTGAGAAACAGCACTTTGAAATCAGTTTGTCTGATTAGTGTCCTTCTAATTGCAAGCCTGGCTTTATCTCCTAATAGCATTAACCAGATCCCTAAACCCTCCGACTTACCGCGGCTCAGACTCTCAATGCAACCATTGTCAGAGGTCACAATTGATTGTATAATTTATAATTCAATGCACAATTCACCAAATTTCACTTGCATTTAACGTTTAAGAATGTACAGTTAGTTTGGACATTCCAATTGTGATCTGCAGTGGGCTAGGATTGCAGCTCTCACAAGGAATCAACAAACTGTACTGCTCCCCAAATGAACACTAAAATGCTGTAAGCTTTTTCAAAAAACTTTACTCATGGGCATGGGTAATGCAAGCTAGGCCAATATTTAATAATAATCTCACACTGAGGTGATGAGCCACTTTGTCGAACTGCAGTCTGCCTGCTGTAGGTAGACCCACAATGCTACTAGGGAAGGAGTGACAAATGAACAAATGAAAAAGTACAGCACAGGAACAGGCCCTTCGGCCCTCCAAGCCTGTGCTGATTATCATGCCCTAGTTAATCTAAAAATAAACCTGCCATTTTTCGATCTGTATCCCTCTATTCCCTCCTTATTCATGTACCTGTCTAGATGCCTCTTAAATGTCTGACAGTGAAGGGATGGTGATATACTTCCTCGTCAGGATGGGAGTGGTTTGGAGGAAAACTTACAGGGGTGTCGTCTCCACCAATTGGAGGTGGTGTCATACTGGACTTGAAACGACAAAGCAGTTTCACTCTCGACAGATGCTGCTCGATCTGCTGAGTTTCTCCTTTGTGTTTGCCTCAATTTTCCAGCATCTATAGTATTTTGCTTTTATTATCTAATAGCCTTTCCCATCTAAGCAGTAGAGGTCACTGGTTTGGAAGGTGCTATCAAAGGAGTCGTGGTGTGTTGCAGTTGTATATCTTGTAGAAGGTACACACTACTGTCACTGTGTGCTGATGGAGCAAATTGTGAAGTTAGTGGATGTGGTGCCAATCAAGCGGTCTGCTTTGTCTAGGATGGTGTTAAGTTTCTTGAGTGTTGTTGGGGCTGCACCCATCCAGGCGAGTGGGGGCGTATTCCATTACAGTCCTGACTTGGTGCCTTGTAGATGGTGGATAGGTTTTAGGGAGTCAGGAGGGGGGTTATTCACCGCAGCATTCCTAGCCTCTGACCTGCTCATGTAGCCACTGTATTTATATAAACAGTCCAGTTCAGTTTTTGATAACCCCCAGCCGCTGAAAGCAGGGTAATGCCATTGTATTTCAGGCAAAATAGTAAGATTGTCTCTTTTCATAAAGATGGCCATTGCCTGGTACTTGTGGAGCATGAATGTTACTTAGTGCTTATCAGCCTAACTTGGAAGGTGCCCAGGCTCTGCTGCACATGGATGACAGCTGGGTTGGTACGGGGGAGGCAGCAGCAGGGCGAGGGCTGTGTCGGTATGGGGGAGGCAGCAGCAGGCTAGTAATCCAGAGACTGAGCCGAACATTCTGGGAACATGGGTTCGAACTGCACCACACAGTTAGTAACATTTGAATTCAATTAATCAAACGAGCTGCAAGTAAATGCTAGTTTTCCATGGCAATCAATCAAACCCTTATTAATTGTCATAAGAATGTGACCAGCTTACTAACATCCTTCAAGGATGGAAATCTGCAGTGGCAAAGTGGTACAGTTAGAAAGGATTTACCCTGGGCTCCTTGGCACAGGACACAGTGTACTCTGGGTGGGGGGGGGTTCACTGTCCATCACACAGAGTGGCTCGACAGACACACTACTGAACGAGCTGGTCGAGTCCTAAAGGATATTATTGTTGGATACGGCCTGCACCAGGTGACGATGGAACCAAGAGAGAAAAATGGACCTGATCTCATCCTCACCTACGCAGAGCCTTTGCAGAGACAAAGTCCCACCTTCACAAACAGGACACCCTCCATGCTTTGAGGAACTACTACCACAGACTTTCAACAGACCTAGTTCCGCAAAATGGGCATCCATGAGGTGCTTTGGGTCAGCAGCAGAATCATATTCAACCTCGTGGCTCAGCAAACTTCCATTACCATCAAGTCAGGGGATCAGTCCTGGTTCAATGGAGAATGCAGGGGGGTGTGCCAGGAGCAGCATTTTCAGGCATACCTAAAAATAAGCTGTCAATCTGGTGACGCTGTTTGTGTATCAAACAGCATAAGCAGCAAGTGAGACAGAGCTGATCAGATTGAAGACCTGCAGACTGCCACATCCAGACATGAATGGTGGTGGATGATTAAACAACTCACTGGAGGAGGCGGCTCCTCAATGTCCACATCCTCAACGATAGAACAAGCCAACACATCAGTGTAAAAGATAAGGCAGAAGCATTTGCAACAATCTTCAGCCAGCAGTGCCGAGTGGATTATCCAACTCGGCCTCCACCAGTGATCCCCTGCATCACAGTTGCCAGTCTTCAGCGAAGTCGATTTACTCCATGTGATATCAACAAACATACTGCAAAGGCTATAAGCCCTGAATATTCCAGCAATAGTACTGAAGGTTCATGTTCCACAAGCTCTTCCAGTGCAATTACAACACTGACATTTACCCAACAATGTGGAAAATTGCCCAGGTATATGAAATTACTCCACAGAGGCTAGAATCCCATCACTAACTCAGCGTTTATTTACACATGGAGAGTCTTTGACACACTGATCCAGCTCCCTCAGAGCCAGCTCTCTGAAAAGGATGTCTGACAACTCTTGTTTTTGTCTGTCAGCCAGGTCTCCTTGATGGACCAGATTAACAGCCCTCACATTCTAGGAGGGTCACCTTGCTGACCTCAATATAATCATTACAATATGTCCTGTACACAAAAAACAGGACAAATCCAACCCGGCCAATTATCGCCCCATCACTCTCCTCTCGATCATCAGTAAAGTGATGGAAGGTGTCAGTGACAGCGCTATCCAGCAGCACCTGCTCAGCAATAACCTGCTCAGTGACGCCCAGTTTGGGTTCCGCCAGGGCCACTCAGCTCCTGACCTCATTACAGCCTTGGCTCGAACATGGACAAAGGAGCTGAATTCCAGAGGTCCTTTTCTGAAGAAGGGTCTAGACCTGAAACGTCAGCTTTCCTGCTCGGCCTGCTGTGTTCGTCCCACTCTACACCTTGTCATCTCTGAATTCCAGAGGTGAAGTGATATTAAGGTCGCATTTTGAGTGTAGCATCAGCAAAACTGGAATCAATGGGAATCAGGGGGAATATTCTCAGATGGTTGGAGTCATAGCTGACACTAAATAAGATGGTTGTGGCTGTTAGAGGTCAGTCAACTCAGCTCGAGGACATCTCTGCAGGAGCTCCTCAGGGTAGCGTCCTGGGCCCAACCACCTTCAGCTGCTTCATCAATGCTTCCCTCCATCATAAAGTTTGAACTGGAAATTGCCAAAGTTGTATCTGCAGGAAAAGCATGGTCAGGAAGATTTCCCTGGAAAACTTCAGTCTGTCACAGTAACAGTGCTTTTTGGAGTTAGGGCCAAAGCACAGCAAGATAAAGTTCTCATCTCTTCATCTAACCTTGTGCTGTATCTGCTCTAGGGGTGTTTGATGGGAACAATGTAGAATGAGTTTTATTCTATATCTAACTCCATGCTGCCCCTGTCCTTAATGGGGGCAGTGTTGATGCAGATTTAATTTCAGTTTAAAAACAGTAGAAGGATCTTTACTCTGTATCTCATCCCATGCTGTACCTGTCCTGGAAATGTTTGATGGGGACAGTTTCCAGAGAGGTTTTATTTCAGTTGAAAAGAGGGAGGCTTCCTCTGTCTCTAACACATGCTATCCCTGTCCTGGAGTGAGGTAGAGAAACCTCTACTCTCAGTTTAAGAGCACAGAGAGAGTGCTACTGTCAGTTTAAGACAGACAGCTTTAATTCCAGTTTAAATGAGTAAAGGTAGCTTTACTCTGAATCTGACCCTGTGCTGTATGTGTCTGGAAGTGTTTGATGGGGACAGTGTAAAGGGAACATTACTCCACAAAGTGAAAATGTAACCGATCTAAGTTGCAGCATTTGCTATCGTCATAGGGTGTAGTGCACATTACATTATATTACTGTGCAATCCTAATGTCTATTACCCTGAAGAGACTACAAATGATCAGGAAGGTCAATCAGCTTTCAGCAGCAGATTGCTGGATGCATCTTCGCTGTATAAACAACAGGCAGCTGATCTCAAGCTAGGATTT